TCATCACAAGTTATTTTTGGCGATAGTGTTTTCGCACCCTCTCTGCCTCCCCCAGACGCTTCACAGGGAAACCTCCCTCAGTATCGCTGCTCCAAGGCAGCCAAACCTCACTGTTCACTGTGCTCCTTCCCCAGCTCTTGCGGGGCCATCCCCCCTTATCCACCCTGGGGAGCCCTTCACCCCACAGCAGCGGCCCCAGCGGCCGCGGGCGAGCAGGAGCCGAGGGGAGCTGTCCCAGCCCTGCCCGTGTGCCCTGGCTCCCTGGGCTGGCCGGGGGCCTGCAGCAGGCGGGGGTGGGCAGGCCCGAGCCCACGCTCTAGGGGTGGTGGCTGGTCCCGTCACTCAGGGCACCTCAGCCAGAGCTCCCACCAGCGCTCGGGTGGCTGTGGGTACCACGGGCTGTGCCGGCGCAGCAGGTGCAGGGACACCGAGGGGATGCCGAGAGAGCTGGCGCCCTGCTCCGGCTCTCCTGGCTGCATATCCACCCAGGGCCATCGGCTCTGCAGAGGGAGCTGGGGAGCGCACCCCTTCCCTCCTCAGCTCCCCGTTCTGCTCCTGGCAGGAGGCACAGACAACTCGGTGCTGCCCGGGCCCGGCCCACGTGAACGGTCCCCGCTGATGGCCGAGGGGCCGTGCCAGTGAGCCGGCTGCAGGCGAGCCCAGCCACGCGATCGTGCCAGCCACAGCCGCTCGGACCAGCAGGACAAAGGCAGCCCTGCCGGCCTCCACCTGTGCTGCTCAAGGCCCCAGTCTGCGGCACTGCATCCGAAGTCTCACTACAGTGGTACAGGAGGCACCAGCCCCAGAGGAGAACTGGGAGCAGGACAGTGCAGGCAGGACTCTGACGGTCCCCAGAGCAGGGATCTTGGGGTCCAAGGGCAAGCAGAACTCCTGGGAAATCCTCAGATCTGCACGCATCAGCCCTTGAGCATCCTCCGGCAGGAGCCAAGGTAGCGCTGGGCGCCCCCAGCCTGGCCGGGATGCAGGTGAGCACCCAGCGCCTCGCCCGGGATGGCAGCGCCCGTTCGCTCAGAGGTTTCGTCCTCGTTGGTGTTTCCCGGTGGTGCAGGTCTGAGGGTGGATGGGTTGAAGCCCAAGACCCACTGCCCCAAGGGGGCCCTGGCTCCACCAGCTCCTGGCTCCAGGACAGCCCCAGGAGAGCTGAGACCTCCAGAGCCCGGCGGCGCTCAGGGCCACCAGCAGGGTGGTGGGAGGGCAGGAGAGGGCTCCTGGGACAGACTAGGTCCCCCAGTCCCTATTGCCAATCCCTCAGCCCGCATTACCCCTAGACACGTGGGGAGGGAATGGAATAAGTGGCGCCCCCCAAGCCCCCAACCCCGCGCCCCCGTCCTCTTCACCCGGGGGACCCCGGCCCCACCGCCCCGGGCACAGCTCACCTCCCGCGGCCGCTCGCACGACGAGGGGCAGTGTCAGGAAAGTTATGCCGAGCCCAGTGGGGCCCATGGTAGCGGGGGGCAGCGGGGGGACCCCCGCACCTCCCCGTCCCGTCCCGTCCCTCCGCAGTGCGCCCGGTGCTGAGCTGGAGCGGGCGGCAGCGCTGGAAGCGCCCGCAGCCCGGGAGATGCTCGGCTCCAGCCTGGGCTCTGCTCTTACATATTCATCACCCGGGCTGAGTTTTTAACTCCTCGGCTGCTAGGAGGGAGCGGGGAGAGCCCGGCCCCCGGCCAGCCCCCCGCGCCCGCCGGGTCCCTGCCCATGGTGACAGGGACAGGCGGCGAGCGGGGGCTGGAGGCGCCTACGGGTGCTGCGCTGCCCGCCCCGCTCCCCATCCCCAAAGCTGGAGGCCGGCAGCATCCCCGCTGTGCCCCATCCCGCCCCCGCACGGTGTGTGGGACTACAGATGGATTTCAGGGCCTGCCAGGAGGCGGAACGGGCTGGGGGCAGCAGCTTTGGCCCATCCCCTCCCCATTCCTTGGAGACACAGGTTGTGGGACATACCCTCCCCCCAGCTTGGGGAACTCCTCAGCCAGGAGTGGGTCCTGCATCTCCCATGTCTGAGCGTGGTGGTTCCTACCTGATGACGGGCAGGCGCTGCCATGGGGACCCACAGACCAAACCCAACTCATGCCTGCAAGCACAGACCCCTCTCTGGACAAAGCCCAGCGAGCACCTCCTGGAAGCCTCATCCTCGGGGCCCAGGCGGCCTCCACAGCCGCGCCATAGGGGACCCTCAGTCCCTGCAGTCACCAAGGAGCTGCACAGTGCTGGGGCACGATCCAGCCCTTTCCCCTCCAGCGGGCACAAGGTTGCAGTGGCTGACACTCTCCCAGCCACGGGGCATTGGCTGGCCAGCGCAGGGGGGCAGTCCTGGGCCACAAGCCTTGCACACCCATTTGAGTATCACTGGAGCCCAGCGCAGGCATCCCGTGCTGGTGGAGGCAGCTGTTCAGCTCCTCATCACAGAGTGAGCATATGCCACCTCATTGCACCTGTCCAGGCAGGTCCCACAGGAGCCAGGATCTCAGCAGGTAGGGAGGGGGTGAGAACACAGGAACACGGTGTTATCACCTTCTCCTTAAATATCCGTGCCACCCTCATGCAGCAGAAGAAAGGAGGCCATGGGGCCCAGCCCGCAGCTCCCATCGCCGGCTCTTGGCCCTGGCCTGGAGCATCGGCGAGTCACTGCCAGGATGAACAAACCCGGCAGCAGTGCACGGGCAGTGGGAAGCAGCCTCCTGCTGCCAGCTTGGCCAGGGATGGGCTCTGGCTCAGCAGAGCTGCTTGGCTGCCCTGTGCTACAACGGGCTCATCCTCAGCAGGGATTCTTTGGGGCACCTTCTTCCCCCCAGGCAGCACCAGCCCCAGGCAGTGCCTGGGCAGCACTGAGCCACGTTCGGGCCCCGATGCAGGGCGCAGAGGAGGGCGGCAGCACAGGTGTTCCCTGGGCCGGGCTGGATCTGTGCCGTGCTGACACTTGGCCCCTGCTCCAGGGATGAGGTATTCTGCAGAGGGCTGCGGTCATCCTTCCGGAGAGAGCCGCAAAGGGCGGGCAGGTACGGCACAGGGTCGCACCAGCTCTGCAGCCTGCTGCCGATTGCTGCCGGCAAGGACAGGAGCTGTTCTGGCACTCATGGTGTGAGACCTCCATTGGAAACATGAGCCAAGTGATCCCTCTCCCTGTACGCCCGCAGCAGGACAGCCCATATTGCCACACAATGGAGGAGAAGCCCAAGACTCTTGGGGTCAGAAGATCAGACTCATTGCCCCATGAACACTTTTTTTGGTTTTCAGGATTCTCTAGTGGTGATTTTTAGCAAGAGGAGCAAGAGCAGGGTGTGGGGCTTAGCACAGCCCCCTCAAGAAGCAGGAGCAGAGTGAGGAAGTAGTGGGATCTACAAGGTATGTGGAAAGGCAGTGGCAGCACCACAGCACTGTGCCATATCCTGCTCCCACCCATCCCCATTGCACTGCTCCCTAGGGTGCACGGCTGCCTGCTGACACCCGTGCCAGGCAGGAACAACCTCCTGTTTCTATAGGAACCAGATCAAGCCTTGAAATTGCTGGCCTTGCTGGTGGTGGTGAGCTCACAGCTGATCCTGCAGCTTTGTGCCGTCCTCATAGGGTGACACCACGTCCATCAGCCTGCTGCCACCGAGCCAGGTGGCACTGAAAGGTATAGTTACCTAAGCTGTAGCCATCGATTGGTCGTGCCACCCTGGTGGGAACCCCCAGCACATGCCCTGTCAGCAAGCCCTATGCCAGCACACAGCAGAGGTGCCAGCAGCTCCTGGGGGTAAATCCTGCACTGCCACCCAGGAACCTGGCCAGGCACCCGGGCTGACGGGAACAGTGACAAGACCAAGATTTGAGCCTTCAGAGTGTGGCTCACATCACACAGGGATGGGTGCACGGAGAGGCGGGGATCCAGAGAGGCAAAGTTCACAGGCAGTAAATACTCCGATCTTTGATCCCCACGATAAACTGGTGCTAGCCCGGGAAGAAAGCCGGGAGCGGGGCAGGGAGAGCAGCACAAAGGAGGCACTGTGGCCGGCAGATGCGCTCTGGCCACACGCCGCTGCACAGCCCCTTCATTCATCCCGCGCTGCCACCGCCGCCGGGGACAGCGACATCTCCCCGCAGGGCCTGGCACCCCCGGGGCACTGCCAGCACTCGGGCCCGTGTCTGACACGCTCCCCCGCCTGGCGCTCTCCCAGGGTTCAGCGCCCCGGACACGCCGTGCTGGGCACAGCTGCTCATCACCCTCTCAGAAAAACACATTTGAAGCTGCTAAGAGCTCACAGCCGGAGGCTGCCCAGCAATTCCCTGCCACAGCAGCCGAGGGTCAACACAGACAGCTGCCTCTGGACGCCGGTCAGGGTGGGGAGCCCCGAGAGCCGCGGCTGTGCTTCGGACAATCCATGCTGCTCCCTACAGGAACTATCCTGTCCCCAGGCAAGGACAAGTTTCAGCTGCACGGGATCTCCCGGCACCAGCACCCCACGGGGCTCCAGGCCAGACTGAGCCCCTCCAAGAGCTGGAGCCGGCATGGAGCGCTGGAGCTGCGCTGTCCAGGGCACACTGAGCTGCCCTCTGCAGGCACAGGCACGGGGGAGCGGAGCCGTTCAGCAACGAGCGCACCCTGCGAGCGGGGCACGGCCCCAGCACCCACCGCAAACACGGCGAGCCCGGCGGATCTGGACAAACAGCGAGCTGGCAGCCTGGACCAGTCTCTCCATTCTGCAGAACTCCCTGCCCCCGGACTCAGCAGCTTCCCATGGGTTTGGGGAGGGCAGTAAGAATACGCTACATTTCATTTTCTTGGGTATAAATCCCAGGCTTTCCTAAAATCACACTAATACAGGTGAATCCCACTGGAATCTGTACGCACAGAAACTCTGGCAAACTACTTGCTCAAAGTTAAATGCATCTATTGATCTTTTTGCAAGATCACAGCTCAGAAGAGTGATTTAACAAAGCCTTCCTTCACAACGCTGGGGAACCACATCGACACAGAAATCAGGAGACATTGGAACACAACATTTCTCTTACAGAACACAATTTATTTGGCATTTGGATGAAATGTTTCTCACAGCATCTTGAAAAAAAAAAGAGATTAGTGCCAACCCCAAAGAAGTTAAAACAAAAACCAGTGTCACGGGGACTCAATTATTATAGTATCAAATTTAAATTCTACATGGTATTTCACAGAATATCAAAATCTTTTATACACTGCCACGGTTAAGTCCAGTCACAAACCAACTACACAGGAGAAGCCTGCAAGTGCAGCGCTGGCTAAAATGATTTTCCAGAGGAAGGTAAAAAGCAGTGTCTCATTCTCTCACAGCCTCCCAGGCACCCTCAGCCCACCACACAGGGATGGTGCAGCACAGCCACCTCTGCTGGCATCAACCCTGACCCACTCAGCACTCAAGGGGCACATACTAGAAAATTAAAGCTATGTGGTACCGTAGCAGGCAGGCAATGCTGACTGTTGTTAGGGGGAAGCGCATCTTCATCACTGAAAGTGTCTCTTCCAAGGAAACACCTATTTCGCTTGGGACTAGGGAACATGAGAAGCAAACATGAACTTGATTCACCTCCTCCACACTCAACTGCTCTAATTTTACAGTCCAGCTCCCAACTTGCAAGGAAAATTTAAAAGAAATTTCTGCACATTACATGTTCCTTAGCTAGGGAGAAAAAAGACATTTCAGCCACTGAAAGAAGGAGATGCACATCATGGTTTGTACGAGGCAACATTAAAATATCAGTGTTTTCCCACTGAGAAGTCACATCTGAAAGATAAAAACACCAGGTTCAAATTTATTTAACATGAGATGGGAAAAGAACAGTAATTACTGATCACAAAAAACATTTTCTCCCCAGTACTGAAACAGGCCATCACCCCACGGCACCTGTGGAGGCAGAGCAGTCACTAAGATTCAGCCTTCAGAAAAAAACCTCCACCTACTTAATTTTTCATCTAGATCAGTGTCCTGCTGTGCATGGCTAAAGGAAGTCTGAGGCTCAAACTAACCAGGACTGAACATTACACAGACAAGCTCCTTGCACACCTGAATGATGCTGCTGATCCACCGCCCCTGTAACATTTTCACTCTAAACTCACCCAGTACAGAGCCACAGGCTGCTCTGAGACTGTGGATGGGCATCACTGACAAACAAGAGGGTCTGGGGCTGCTCCTAGGGAACAGCAGAGACCTCAGGATAGCACCACAGGACGGGGAAGCTGAGGAGCAGCTCTGTCCAAGGCCACAGTGGGACAAGACCAGCCTGGCATGGAACCAAGTGCTGGGACTCGACAACAACTGTGGTCAAGGGCAGCCCCAAAAAACACACCTGGGCTCACACAGGCTGCTGGAAACCATGTGGCAGTGCCATCTCCCTCCTGGGGCTGCAGGGACATTTAGGGTCCACCAGTTGTTACAAAAAATATCCAGAGATGTGAATGGCAGTGGGGAAAAAAAAAAAAAAAAATCAATGCAGAAAGTAACTCCAAAGATCTCATCAATCTAATGGCAATCAAACCAGAGAGGTTTTCCTTGGGCAAGCACCAACTCTGTCATCAACACTTGGGACAAATTGCCCACCAGTCACCTTGCCAAGGGCAAGGGAGGTTTGCTGAGGAGTCCACAGTTGTCAAGAAAACTTAACTCTTCCCCAGTTGGTCCAGCAGTCTTAGTAGTTGAGACATTTTCTGCTACAAAGGCTCTTACTCCAAGAGAAAGTACTCAATGTGGAAAAGCTACATTAAAAGGGGGGGAAAAAAAAGACAATTTTATTGCCAAATTAGAAGCTCACCAAGAGGTAAATGAGCTGTACTTAGTGAGCTGCTTCATTCAAGGCAGAATTTCCCTAGTTTACAGTTAAGATGAAGAAGGATAGGGGAAAACTGAGAAAATAGCAGCCTCCTGCCAATATACAAATGGGAAAGGCTCAGAAGCAATGGGGAAAATATCACACTGAGGCTTCTACAAAGAAGCCTCCATTTGGAATAGCTACAACCAGGAGCCACAATGAAGTTGCCAGTTGTAACAGAGCTTATTTGCAAATAAAATTCACCACAGAACTAAAAGTAAAATACAAAAACATTGAACAGATTCCCGCAGTGTTAGAAGAAGTGTGAGGTAAGGTATCTGTTCACCTCAGCCACAAAATACAGCTTCTGAGACTGAACCAAGCCAAAAGGCCTTTTGTTATTGCGCTAGGATACTACAAAGAACAAATTTTCCATCTGGCTTCAAAAGAAATTGGAAATTTTCTATTTTGCACTGCTAACAAAGTATTTTTCAGGAACAGATTGTAGTAGTATAGACTTTGCATCCTATTTAAGTGTACACTATCACAGCCTGTCCTACAAGAGAGTTTAGCCAGCTCGAGAGAAGTATTAACCCTAGAGACTAATTTCTATCTCAGTGCTTAGCTTCACCTAGCTGGACGCAGCACAAAGGTTACTCTCTACAGTATGTATAGATATATATATATATATATATATATATATCTGTGTGTGTATATATATATATCATCACCAGCCAGAAACACACGCACACACACACACACTCGTACCTATAAAACTAAAGAAAAATCAGTACATACAATGTATAAAACGTATGAATGTGCTCAAAAACGCACAAAACCCGCTTTATTTTCATACTTCAGAAATGCTCAATAATTTGTATGCATGGTTCTGACTACTGCTATCCATCCACTTCATTAGACCAGGACTTGGAACTCGGAGGAGGACTCAGTCAGAGATCCCACAGGGTGGAGAACTGCTCCTCTCGTTTGGTACCACTGCTGCTGGAGCCAGGCACAGCAGAGAGCAGGATGGGGTGGTGGAACAGCTCCAGGCAGAGGCTTCCCACCAGTGCTTCCTCCCACTCGTGTGCCAGCAGTGCTCCCCAGAACTGTGATTCACGCTCTCCGCTGGAGTCAGGGCTGTTTGCAAGTGTCTGCATGGCCACACACCAGATACGACCTCAATAACCAAACTCACAGTTTTCTGTGCAAAACGAGTTGAATTGTCAAGACCAATCCCCAAGTACAGTATAAGCCTATAGGCAAGACAGGGAATAGAAAGTAGCAGCATATTCCATGGGGAAAGAGTCAGCTGCACTGGGAAACCACAACAGTGGGTTAGGATTTGTCATACAAGTATGATTTCTCATCATTACTAGAAAAATAGATCACATACACACCCCCATGCAGTGTTTTCTTCCTGTCCCTCTAGGCTTGTACCCTTCATAAGGTAACAGGAGACCACTCACAAGAGGCATTCTTTACAAATTCCTTAAAATTCATCTCATCTGCTGACTGTTACAGTAAGTCAAGGAGAAGCAGAAGCAATGGGAGGATGGGAGAAAAGGGTAAATTATTTGTACACTGAAATCCAAACTTAAATTTAAAATTGCCTGTAAAGATTATTTTGTACTCATTATCAAAACCAACAGCGCTTGACTTTGGGTTTTGTGAGGGATTGAATGAATCTTTGCCATCTGTAAATTAACTTAGCTTAAAGAGTTCAATACGAGGGGGAAATTTAAGATGACATATCAGACTGAAGCAAACTGCTTTATTGATTTAAGTACACTAACCTCATTATAACCCCTCGTGGGACCTGGATAAATGGTTTGGGGGGCACAGGGGAAATCTCTAGAACAGGGTTGGCTATTCAAGGGACTGAGATAAGGAACAGGGGTCCAATTAGAATTAAACATCACCTATAGTACATGTTGATCACCATTTTAAAGTGGTATTTGTAGAACTGCAAAGAAGTGAAATGAAGGGGAGGGAACACACATGCTAAATATAGCATGCAATAAGAAAAGCAAGAACAGTGGTCTTTTATCCAGGCCAGTTTTGTGCAACCGTTCACTGTAAAGAAGTTAAACTAGAAAGAAAATATCTCAATCTTCCTTATGGGATTAGAACAAACAGGGGCTTCATACAGTGAACTCAGGCTGCATCAAAGTTAATTGCTCCTAGTCTCTTCCCTAATGTACTTCCTAACACACGTGAGGGTTCTACCAAAGGGACATCACACACACCCAGTTTTCTTCATGGGCCAGTTTATCCAACAATATGAAGTTTTGCAGCTACCAACAACAAATAACTGTAATTGCAAGTCCCGGTTTTCTCAGTACCCAGAGGTCACATATTGTGCAGACCATCCCTTCTCCAGTTCCTCTGGTGCTCTGATCAAGGCAGATCAAAACCCCAAGTGTTTGACACAGTGTAACTCTTGGTGGCATGTGTCCCGCTCCATAAAACAGACCCCCAGCCCCTCCCCTGAAGCTCCATCTTCTCTGCTTGAACAGTGATTGCCCCCACCCTTCTTTTCCATTGTCTGTTTCCTGGGTCCAGTGGTATCCAGCCAAATCCAAGCAGCTTTTTTCTGATGTAGATTTTGATTCCTCTCAGGTTAAGAAAAAAAAAAAAAAAAAAACAACCCAAACTACCCATACTTCTTACCTCCTCAGAAGTCAAATGAATTCTCTGCTCTCCTTTCCATAGCCAATGGAAAAAAAGAGCAGTTGTACAATCCATATTTACAGGACAAACTGATTAGTGAATGAATAAAGACAGCCAAAAAATGAGAGGCACGATCCTAATCTAGAACATAAAAGTAGTGTTTGAAAAACAAAGTGGAGATTCCTTCTGAAGTTCAAGCCAAGATAAGTGTTTGTCTGTGCAAACAGTTGCTAAAACTCTGAGCGGTGCTGGGTGTTTCTCTCCTTTATACAATAGTGTTGAGGGAACAGTGGCTGTGGCGACTGCCTGTCAAAGTTTCTGCTGGGGTGTTTTCATTTATGGGTGTGTCAGGAGGGACAAGAAGGGTGCTGCTGTCAGCAGAATCTTCCAGCTCCACTGGAGAAGGACCAACCGAGGGAGGAAGTGATCCCTCTGTAAGTTGTGGGGGTACATCACAGTTTCCTAGTGATGGAGGACTGCTTTGCACAGCCTGAGAAAGCACTCCATCTGCAAAGGACAAAAAACAAGCAGAATCAGAACGTGAAGTTTATCATTTCACGTTCCCAACAGGTTTATGAGCTGTATTTCTCAAAGCTCTGAGTTTTTCCTGCTTTTGCGCTAATGCACAACAAGATGAGACTGCAAAAGAGGAAAATTGTGTAACAAAAATAAAACTTTGACATATAAATAAGATGCTTGCACTAATCAGGCTCACTTATCTTGTGAAATATGCTGCTATAAAATCCCAAATTGGAATGATTTCTACACTATGTGAATATCACAGCTGCAAAACTGAAGAGCACTGGGTGAATCATTAGAAAGTGGTATTTTTGGTCAATTTTGGGGGGATGTGGGTGGGGGAAGCAGGGAGGAGAGAAGAGGCTGGATACATTTCATCCAAAATCTCTTGTACTTGACATTTGTTCTAGTTCTTAATACCAAACTCTCTCAACTTATCTTCAAAAGGCCAAAAATTTTAACAGCAGGTAGAAAAATGTAACCAGCTAATCCATCCAAAGTAAGGCTCAAGAATAGGAAAGGTTTAAGAGGTAAACTGCTAACAGATTGGATTCCACTGCTAATTTAGGTGATTCAAAGAAAAAACAAGCTTAATGATACATTTTAACAAAAGACTTTTCCATCTCAGAAATTGGAGATTTTTTTGTAAAACGTCTTTTTCCATCACAATTGCTAAAACACATGATTACAGCTTTAAAAAAAAAAAAAAAATCCATCCTCTAGCCAAAATGAAAAAGTGGGAGAAAAGAGAAATTATTGCCTGCATACCTGGAGTGGAACAAATGATGCTGTCTGGATTGACAGAAGCCTCATAAGGAGGAGGTGGGTCATCAGGATGTTGAATATCTGGGTACTTGTAAGCAGTATAGGGTGGAGGGGGATCGTGAAAATGAAATGCTCCACCTTCCCCATCGTCTGAAAGATGCAGTGGAGTAAGGCCAGTTCCAAAACCATCAGGACCATAATCAAAACCAGGCATCCTGCGGCCCAAGTTGAAATGGTGCACTATTTCAAGAGAAGGAAAAGGAGTAAGTGACTTTATCTCGTGCTGTCTTCTTCAGTTTAAGTCAGATCTCAACACTTTTTTCCACTCTTCACACCCCAGGAACTCGTGTTTCCTGAAGACCTAGAAAAGTCTATATAACCCGTGCAAGTCAGCTTGCTGCAATTACACAATACCCAGGCCCACCTGCTCCCAGTCTGTTTGTCCTGCATCACATCTAAATTTGACTCTAACCTCCTCAAACTACAGACTACTGCTCACACAGAAGATATGTCAGATTTGGAGATCACATACAAACAAAATTACTTTTCCATTATCCACTAAAAAAAAAGTTTGAGTTTGAAGAACCCACCAAGACACGGGCCCAGCCGAGCAAGACGATGACATTTGTCCCCTTTACATAGGGCAGGGTGTCAATACCAAGCACAAGGGGAGGGCTGATACTCACAGTTTGCTCCAATCAAGGACTCGATGCGCTCTCTCCGCTTCTGGCGCAGCCGGTGGACCATGAAGAGCAGCAGAGAGAGGATGAGGAAGGAGGAGATGCAGCTCACGATCAGGCGCATTCCACCGGCCATCGAGTCAAACAGGCTGCTGCCATCTGGTACATCAAACACATCAAAAACAGCCTGTTATTTTTGTTCAAGATGCTTTTTTATCTTGATGTTCTTCTGTCAGTAACGGAGAGAGAAATGTAGAGTGGAGATTCATTAGCCTGGTTTAACACTTCTCCGTATTTCAAATATATAAGAAAATCATGAATCATCAGGTGATTTATCTTTTTACTGCAAGAAGATCTGAAAGTTTCTAAGAATATCTTCCTCGGGAAAAGGGGCAAAACACTGAAGGCTTTGAGCCTCCAAAAATTGGAAAAAATAAAGGTTATGGTATTTTGCACATCCATTTGCTTCCCTTGCATGGCTGATATTGTACTAAAGAGGAAAAGGCTTGAGAACTGGCATATCTATACACTACATAACTTCTGAACATCCTAACCCTTCCATTTCCACTAAAAAAAAACCCTCTGAGCATTGTCATTGTGACCCAGATGTGGCTATCTAAATTCCACATAATACCAGTACATTGGTTAGCACCACTAAATGACAGGAACATGGCAATCATCACTCAGGAACTGAGGAGATTAAGGTGAATGGGAATTAAACCTTATCCTAGAGTCACACCAAAAGCAAGTGGCAGAACAAGAAAGAGACCCAGAAGCTCAGAACTTGCACAGCTCTATCCCACTGCTAACCAGACCCACTGTGGGAAGGCTGTTGTGAACAGATTACCACCACACTCCCAGCACCAGGCACAAGAGGCATTAATTTTATTTTTCACAATTGACCTAATCACACTTGGTTATGCTTAAGCAGCACATGCACATACAGGTACACTACACAAAGAAAAATGCCCTAAAGATGATGTACTGTTTTATTTGCACCAAATTCCCATTAAAGAATTCTGAATGAGAAGCACACCCAGGTTAGGAGTGGGTAAGAAACAGATGAAGTGGCCTCACAACATGGTCACCTGCTGCTGCAGGACACAAGCACTAGTAGGGGTGTCCCTCTTCCCAGCCACTGCAGGGCCACTTCCCAGAATAAACAGCCAAATCCTGGCCACCTCTCCTTTCCCACACCTACTCCAGTTGCAAGAGCTTCCTCCATACTTTTTCTTTGACTAACTGAAGTTTTATCAAAGATTCCTTACAAAAGAAGGCTAAAAGCCTCACAAAAAAATTTAAGTATTAGTTTGCTACACATTCTAGTAACAGAAAAAAAACCACGTAATTTCAATCGTTCCAGTACATGGCTAACAGGCTGGCATTTATTATGTAACGCCTTCTTGGCAAGAAGAAATTAATTTAACAGTGCACTATGCATAAAGCTCGAGCATTACACCCTCTCAGATCTGGCTGTGCAGCACAAAAGCCTGGCTGCTGTCAAACCTTTTAGCAACTATCACCGACAGAGCTTGCACTGCTGCAGTCACACACCTCCCAACCTGCACAGCCTCCTGAGCACCACAGCCCTGCCCCTACTCCTCCTCCACCTCACGGCAACGCCGACTCCATGGTCACTGCACAATATTCAGGGCTGTCAGTGACACTCCAGTGCCTTCTGTAAAATATACCGAGGTGCAGAGAGGCTCACAGAAGCTGACTTTAGTCATGGGATGGATTCTGGTGGTGCATTCCCCCTCTGCAGGCTGCACTATGATCTGAGAAATGCTCATTAGACCTCAGCCTTGATGAGCTGCACTTGGACTAAGCCCTCTTGAGCTTATCAGAAACACTGTCTGTTCCCAGGAACTAACAGGTGTCTAATGAACACCTGTTTTTTAATGAACAGCCTTGGAAACTTATTTTTCTTGCCTGAATAACAATCCACTTGGAGTGGTATTTTTGTTATTGCACCTTCAAAAAAAGTTACTGTAAACTGTAGCCAGGATGTAAAATTGCTATGACTAGAGCCCATTCTCTAACAATCTTATAAACAGGAGTCCAAAATGAGATAATTTTGATCTCTCAGTTCCCAGATAAGGGGCTCATGTGCATGTCTCAAACACCAACAACCAGGTGGCTGTGGAGCCAACCAAGGACTGTTAGCAATAACAGACACGAATTGTTGTTAATAACCAAGGACCATTGGTATTAACATGCCATGAGAAAGAACAAGATTTATCTGGAGAGGGGGGCCAGGTGGAGATAGGGTAGCACTTTTCTGTGAGAAAGAACCACATCACAGTACAATGCAGGTGCAAGAATGAGTGGCAGGAAGTGGGCATGGACTCTAGGGGGGGATTAAGACCAAAGACACCTGAAGCCCACATAAATACAAAACTAATTATTTCAGAAAACTTATTTTTACCCTCAGTATAGTACTGCCCTGTAACTGCACCAGCTCAGTCTCTAGAAAAGCTTTGGCACATCAGTTCTTTCCAAGTATTCTATTTCTTCTACTACCTTTTCACAGTTGCAGGTCTGTCTAAACAAGAGCCACAACAGAAAAATTATTTTCTACCACAACATGGAGCAGCAATAGACAGACTACCTTGGTTTCAAAATATTCCTCTGCTATTTATCTTTGGCTAAATGGGGAGAAGCATCTTTTAAGTGAGTATAGCTATGATTGCTCAGCTTACTCCTACCACTGAAAAATCCCCCTACAACCAAGTCCTTCAGTAATATTTGTTAGCACTTTTAACTATTGCTCACCCACTCACACTGCAAGAGCTGATTACCTGTCAACCCAACAGCAGGATTTATTTCCCTCAGGTCTCTCCTTAGGTGATTAATTTACTTACTGTTGATTAGTAAACTGTTTTCTTTCTTTTGCAACAGAGCTCAGGGAAAATACATGAAAGAATTGGACAAAGATAAATATATGCTGATTCAAGAAAGTAATTAGTAAATTTTTGTCATCCGGAATAGTCATTTATAATCACCCAGAAGGAAAACTGAAATGTTTAATTTAAAATTTTCAGTGTTTATCACTAGCTGAATTAACTTCATGATGAAAGAAGTTGGATGACTGCTTGATAATTCCTCTCTAAAAACTAAGTTACTGAAAAATCCACCAGAACACTTCAAGCAAGAGTATAATGAAACAGTCTCATTTAGCATCAGTACAGAAGAGCTTAAGGATGAGAAAGGATGTGGTAAAAGACACTCTTCAAATCAGTATTCATGAAATAGTTAAGACCCATAGCAATAAGCAAGGATTAAAGAACACGACACGAGGTTATCCCAGGTCATCTTATCCTGTCTGCTGGATGATGCTTTGCTGACACTGTTCCTGAAGATAAAAAAAGTGAAGCCTAAGTCTTAACTCAGCTGATAAGAGTGGGAGACTCCTGCTTTTTCCTCACTCCTTCACTGACAGACCTGCCACACTAGCTGCAAACATCTGTTAAGCTTAACTCTCAGAACAAATGTGACACAAGCAGAGCCAGTGACCTTTAATGATTAATTTCTCTAGTTAGGACCAATAAGATTGCAAATTCGGAAGCCAATAAGCACCCATTTATCTGTAACAGATTGAAATAGAAGCCTCTGATGGGAAGAGTTGATATTCTATGTTTTCCACGGGAGCTCAGAACAATAGTTTCTTAATGCACGATAAGATTAGGTTCTTCTAAAATACCAAAAAACCCAGTATCACAGAATGGTTGAGGTTAAAGGGAACATCCTGAGATCACCCAGTCCAACCCCTGTTCAAGTAGCATCAGCTAGAGCAGGTTGTGCAGGACAGAGTCCAATCAGGAATTGAATATCTGCAGAGAAGGCAATTCCACAAGCAATCTGCTCCAGTATCTGACCACCCTCACAGTGAACTCCATGTAAGCTACATTTCTTTTCTGTACAGAAAAATAAACTCCCCAAAATCTGCACCCCAAAACAGTGACTGACAAACAGTTCAAAGTTAACTTTACTGACTTCATCAATCCAAAACAAAAACCTGCACTGATACGGCAAACCCAATAACCAAGGCTGTAGGTCCTGATTATTATTGGAACTCTGTATCATTTTAAAACTCTGCTTCCCACATGATCCCTGCATGAAAACTACCACACACATAAATATGCTCATGACCAGAAAAAGATGCTTAATTAGTGCTCAAGAGGAAAGTGTTTTGTTTTCATGACAACTGAATATGACAAAGGAAATGTACCAGATGCTCTACTAAAAACCCACAGTATTGTCTCTCTCCAAACTGAAAATAATCTATTGCTTCTTTCTAGGTAGCATCAGAGAATTCATTTTTACCAGCCACAGCCTGAAGTGTTTCCTTTCCCATGATTTGAGACCTTTCCCCACAGCATGGCTGTACCCAGAAATGCAGAAGCACTGCAAGGATGTGTTGTTTCAAACAAAGCTATACTCAAAGATACCCAAGCTGAGCACTGCACTAATTTTAAGTGACAGAAATGTAGCAGTAGAGTCTTACCCGGGTCTAGACAGGTAAATTTGCAGCATTCCTTGGGGTCCTTTCTGTACTGCTGACAGCCCTGGGGCCGCTCACACAGAGCAGCCACGCACATCTCAGGCTCACCGTTGTGACACGTGCAGCTCAAACAGGGATCATTCCCTTTGGGGGTGAAGTAGTAGCCTTCATCAACAATGTTGTCTTTGATATCAACACAAGTCTGGCCTAGAACAGAAAGGCACATCAATATCCACAGAATCCAGCTTAATTCGTTGTGTTAAGTGATTTGTAAACATAAGCAGACAACCAGTTAAAACCCAGGCCTTCACAGTAAAGTACTTTGAAAAGGGATATCCAGGGAGTGGGAAAGATAATGGATGGTCTCCAGGGACAGAGAGACGATTTTGAGCTCACTGACAAGGTGAGTTTTAGACATTTAATGGAACTGACACACTTCCAAGCATCCTCCCCAAGAGTGGTCTGAGAAGCTCAACCTTCACTGCCAAAGCCTGCTGCAGCTCTCTTCCTCTTTCCTGGTATTAGGAAAAGCTGGATCTTTTCTAGACCAAATTTGAAGGCTTTTTAACAGGCCAGGACTTAAAAAGGGAGTCAGGCAATAATAGTTACTTCCACTGCCCTAGCAGCATCCTGATCCCTGTCCAGCAGGGCAAGCTTGGCCACCTTTTGCCCACTGACCTAAGGCAAGTGCCAAAACCAGAGAGAGAAAACAGTGCTGGGACCTGGCAGCTGGAACTGCTCAGGGAGGATGGCCTGTCCTCTCCAGCTCAATCTCTGACCAAAGCAGGGTCAGCCACAACATCCCAATGGGTTGCTCAGGATTTCTTCTAACCGGGTCATAAAAACCTCTGAGGACAGAGGTGCACAACTTCCCTGGCAGTCAGTTGCACCCTTTATAGCCCTCAAGTTATTTAACTTTTCTCCTTGCAAGGAAGCACCATCTAGATCAGGTAATGTTTAAGATAACCTGATAATACTGCAAATACCTCTGTTGGTATCAAGGCTCTTGGAGTACAGGAATGCAAGATACAGAACAAAAGCTTTTTTTCCACTTTTAAGTCAGTGAGCTCCACTTGTCTTTCCCTTCTAGGTCTACTATTTGGCTGGAAAGAATTTAGTAGAATTTGCTATACTCCAAAAAGACCAGAAATAAGTGTTTCTTCATTTTAATGTGAAATTAATAACTTAAGAGCAACTTTTAATAATAAGGTATTTAAAAAAACAAAAAAAAACTGTTTTGCCCAAGTTTATTTTGGGGCTGATACTGCTGTCTAATGATTTTTTGGTAAAACTCAGTGAAATGTGTGACAACCACACATTATGATGCTCTTATTTATTTAAATCAAGTAGAAATATAACTCCACCCCTTTTTGTTCTAATTCATTGGGCAAAAATTAGAAAGGGTAATAGAATAATTTCTAGCTACTTATTACATGCATATTTAAACACACAACACAGTTAACACAGAACTGAGCCCAACTTACTCCTTTTGCAGAGGAATGAAGATTTCTCATAGCAGTTTTCAGCATACCAGCTGTGTAAACCGTGGTGCCGGAGGGTAGGAAAATGGAAACACTGGAGCTGGGCACAAAGAACATTTTCCTTTTCAGACATAGCCGTCCCAAAGATAGGGTCAGGGGGTAAAAACACTTCTGAAGAGCCTGGAATGAGATACATTGGCATTAGCAGCCTGTGGGTATGGAAAGCTTTAGAGAGGCTCTGTAACATCACTCATTTCATGCACACCGACTCCAATACAAAGAGCCCTCCAGCTTCTGCTCCCATTAGCAGCACTGCTCTGGGGAAGGCAAACAGCTGGAAGGGAAGGGGTGACTCACACAGAAAAGAGGCTGCTGTCTCCAAAGTACTGGGTAATTCTGTCACTCTGAACAAGGAGAACTGAAACTCCAACATCTCCACGAGTGCTGCTTCACAGAGCCCCACGGGGTTTGCCTGACAATAATCTACACCTCCTCAAACCACGCTGAGTTTGGGCACAGTTGCTGCTAGTGGAGCAAGAACCCACACAGCAATCCTGTGCCTGGCACTCCATGCACCCACCAGTGCTTCCAAAGCTGTGCATCCACCCGTGCAGCCCCTGCTGTTCCATGTCTGGGGGGATGCACTAGGGCATCCACAGTTTGGTCCTTTCAACTCATGAAACAGCCTCCAAACAGTGCAAAAGATGTTGAGGGCATTTTCTGGAGGGCTTATGTTCCACATGTCACAACAATAAATTAAAATTTTCAAGCTGTAGAACCCTAAACCGCTTTCCAAACAGGTATTAGGAATTCAGAGTCTGCCTCAATACAAGCCTAAGAAAAGTTTTTCACAAACTACTGGATGTTACTATGTACTTTATTTCATAGAGGCATCTCTTTATTAAATACAAAGCTTGAAAACAGAAGATTATATGGTATTGAGAGTGCTTAAATTCATATAATACATCAAATTAAATAAAACTAATTAAAAAGTTATGATGATTTTTCTGTAATTCATGCCTCCCTGTTGTGGCCACTCTGTCAGCAGATGGCAGTGCAGGCAGCCGTCAAAGAGCTGAGAAAGGTCCTTTTAAGGAGAATCTTTGTATTCATGTGTCAAAGGAAGTATTTTTCAAGACCCAACTGTTTGAAAATTCTGATCATAATTACATGTCTGTACCTAAAGGAAAGTTTTCCTTCTACATTTTCCACGGATATTGAAAACTATGCATGAGAAAAAAACTCTCCGGATTTGTTTTCAAATGCTACACTGGAATCCACAGAGCTGATGCTTAAAAACAACACCTTTGTTATAAATTTTCCATCACCTCAACCAGTACAGGAATTAGACAGGCAACTGTCCATGTAAGAGTTCCTATTATGACTTCAACTAATCCCTCGACTGAATCAGCTAAAAATAAAAAGTGTAGAAACATAACTTTGCATTTTCACCAGAGGGAGCTGTTTGTTTTGCAAATGAAAGGTTTAGCCAGTGATGCCCATCAAATTAATGTTCAGTTTTTCATATAAAATGAGATATATTTGTAGGATTATGCAAATTCTGACATGGTTTAAGTAAACTACCTGAAATTCTTTAAAAAGAAAAAATCTGTGTAAATTCTGCAAAATTCTAGTGTGTTGTTTTAGTATATAAAATTCTATCAATTTTAAAAAAGCTAAAACCTCCAAACATGCTTCACCAGTTTGCAAATACCAGAACCAGGGATCAGCAGTTCATCTAAACATTCACCAAAGAAGAGAAATTACAGAGTAGTTTGCTTTCTCTCATTTTAATCAAGGGGAAAGCCCAAATAAACTGGCACATGTTCTTTCCATGCCAGTGTGAAAACCCATAAAACTTCTTAAACTTTAAAATAAGATATGTGTTGAGTATTAAACTCTTCCACTACTACCCTGTAAAGCCAAGCAGTTCACCTGTACTTTTTGAACACTATCAGTGAAAGAAGTCATGTTGTTGTTATAAATGATATTCGTGCTTTAATAGTTTCCACGGGCATTGATCTAAGCAGTAATTTGAGTGACCCACCTTTATAAGCTACTTCCCAGTGACCTTCCAGAGAGTGATTTCGATTGGTGATCACATACTGATATCCCACCCAGAACCTGCAAAACAAATTAAGTTACATTCTAAAGATATAGGCCAAAACCACAGTAACAAATTAAATTACATGGAACCTTATAATGTCTTCATATGTAAAAGTTAATTTTCAAAATATTCTGATTACTTTTTTCCTTATCTTTTTGGTCCACACATTGGCAATGTAGAGAGACCACTGTTGAGGAACAAAGGAAAATACTTGATAAAATACTTAGTAGTTTTCTAGGTTTATAAATTATAACTGACTATTTCTACTCATAAGCAGCACCTTATTCTGTTGTCATGGCAGCACTCCAGTATCTCAAAAATCACACAGCAGCATCCAGAAGTCAAGTATTTTTGAGCAGAAACAACTCAGGTCAGACTGTTCTGGATCAAACCATTTAACTCTCCAGAGATACAAATACACCATTACTCAGACACTCCTGGTGATCTGTCATGGCAGCCCAGGAGTGACAAAAAACCCACATGCAGAAAAAGAAGGAATTGTTTGTTGTGAACTAACAGAATGAGATATCTAAAGCCACCCAAACATGGTAGTTGCAACTCAAAATGCCTTTTTACTTCATTCCTATCTCAAAGCTGCTCTTTGTTAGAGCTACGGGTACTTCATGGAAATCAAAATCTTGTTGAAAAATTTAAATAATTATTTCTATACAAAGCAGTGCAGCAGCAGTCATTGTTACATCCATCTTCCCTGATGCAGTTCAAGTTCACCTGTACATTGCTAAGACAACCTGAAGATAAGAAGACTCTGCTGATAAGAAGGCTCTGCTGAATCATCTGCTAATATTAATTAAAACATAAACTGCAGATGGGGCACTGCCAAAGAGCCAAGCAGCACGTTCATACTGGGTTATTCACCTGATGTAAATTTGACCACTAGATTTTCTACACAAACTGAATCACCAGCATTTGTACCACACAGAAACCATTCTCTCTAACATGAGATCTTTGTCCTTCTCCTCCTACTCACCTACGCTGGTCCTTCCTTACAAATGCTTTTTCTTCCAAGTCCCACTCCTGTGCCAGGATGAACCTCAGCTCCTGGTCGGCAGTGAAGGTGGCCAGGGATCCGTTCACCCGCTGACATGTCTGCACAGCGTCCCAGTAGTTCTCCCCATTTAAATACACCCTGTAACAGCTGGCTGTGCCCTCATAGTGGTGCCATCCTGTTGGGCACTTTCCTAGGAAACATGAAGAATAGAAGGGAAACCATTCCCCCCAAATTAGGATCTTTAAGATAAAGCATCCTACTCAATAATCACTGGGACATGTACACATAATAGTGTGCACACTTCACCTTTGCAGGAGGAGGTGCACACATTACAGATCCCTGAAGAATTACTTTATCACAGTTTCTGATTTTTTTCACATGTTTTTAAAAAGATGAAGCTCCTAGTAAAGCTCCATCAAATTGTCACAGCCTTCAAAATCTTTAATTAAGACTGACCATCTACTGTGGAACACATTTCCCTGCATATCTTTATGAAACAAATAAATTGGATCAATCCAAGCAAAAACAAACAGCGCAAAAACCCTGGAGGTGGCCAATTTAATAACTGTGTCTTTCTATTAGGTGATTAGCAATGCATCCAACTTGCTGTGAAGTTTTCAACCTACTATTACAGTCTCAATAGTATTCATATAATCCTGCTCCCGGAGTCAATCATTAAACACAATAGGAGTTCCAGGGAAATTCTTGGTTGCTTTGGAAAAAACATCACTGTAAAGCATATCTTTAGGAAGTAAGAAGGTGATGGTGTGAACTGCTGTCTCTGCCTTCTCTCAATTAACTCAACTGAGGGAACCTGAAACAAAACCCTTGAGGCATTTCTGGACAAAACAGGCCCAGGGGCTTTTGACTGAGGTTCTTAGAAGTGATGGGTGACTAACAGAAAGAATCGGAGGACAGGAGGATGACATTTAAAACAGGCGTGAAATATGATTTTAGCACCTGCATCTGCACTATTCATTCCGCATTACCTAAGAAACTTAAAATTCAGAAACTGTTCTCTGTTCATTGCAATTCACAGCTCTGTTCTCAAGCCTCTTTATTCTGTTTTCTGTAACTGCAATGAATTGTAACAGAAAACTGCAACTCTGGTTTCACAAAAAAAGGATTAACAGGGACATAGCATTCTTTACATGTACTGGGCTGCTATATAAACTACGCAGGATATATATAAAAGAAATGCACAAACACCTGAAATAGCATGGCATGACGAAGTTTGGTCAAAAAGCTATTACTTTTTCATTTTAAAATAGCCTGAATTTGTAAATTAATTATCAGAAAGATGGCCCAGATTTCCCAGTCTGCAACTTACTGCTGAAGCGGACGGGCTGTGCCACGTTGACCGTGTGGAAGCGCGTGGTGTCCCCATGGTAAGTTCGCTGGTCCCCTGTCAAGCCTGGCGACCAGGAGGAATAGTTAGTACTGGTGAAAGATGCAAGCAAAAGCACTTTTCATTTTATTAAGCTTTCTGTGGGTTTTAATTCAAGACATATGTGATACATGAGTCAGGTAAGCAAAGATGGCAGGTCCCTGCAGTAACAGCTTGGCCGTTTTACTCAGCAGGTAACTGAAATACCTTCAAATGAAAAGAACCAACAAGCCATTACAGGAGACGTGCAGGGTAAACTAAGTATTTTGGCAGATTCTCACCAGCCTGCAATTGTACACAGGACTTGCTGCTCATCATTTCAACTGCTGCAGTAAATGCATCATCCCCAGCACATTGTATCTGTTCCTGTTTACAGAACTACCCACTCCCCAGCTGCTTTGCTCCTCAGCTGTGTTTCAAGGACATAAGACAACTCCTCCAATACATTTTCCAACACATGCTCTGAGATGTAGGATGTAATTAAAACCAGGAAAGGAGACCCATCTTCAGCCAGAAGAACAAGGCTTTTTTATTCGCTCTCAAGTTTCTAAAGGAAAAGTTAGTTGATAGCTTCTGAAATAAACCCCCATACCCCCTGTCCTAATTTAGGACAAATGTGGGAGGAAACATTTGAATGAGGTTTTTTTAGGAAAAAAAAGAAAATATTTAAGTAGTCCCTCCCCCAGTCGGCTTGGGGAAAAAAAAAATTTTTGGGAGAAGTGGAAAAAAGAAAAACTGTTTATTTAACAGGTAACACACTTTTTAACATAAAAATGAACAATATTAAACAGCAAAACTTTTTGCCGTTTTGAAGAGATGACAGATTTAGAAAAGTTTTTTTCGTGGGCTGCCTGGTTTATTTAGTCTGGTTTTAGTTTTTTTTGTGCTGGGTGATGCTGCCACCCAGGCCAGGCCTGGTGGGCCACAGGTGTGAGCTGCCAGTGCTCTTCTGGGTTTTCAGTCCAGAGCAGGTTCAAACAGTTTCAGGAAAAAAGAAAAAGGAAAAAAAAAAAAAACAATCCAGGAGGCTTCTCTGCCTCAGCTAGCCAAAAAACTAACCAACAGCAAAAGAGAGCTCTCTTGCTGTTTACCACAAACGACAGTCTGTAAGCAAAAATGCAGGGGAGCCAGTGCAGTCTCTGATAACAAACTCTGCATTTCTTCTTTCCCCTCCTTCATTCCTAGAACCAGTCTTAAAGTTGCAAAATTTAATATTCAACACCAACAGAACAGACGATTTAAAAATATAAGCATCACACAGTCACCCCAAACACCCCCCTCATCTCAGTGTCATGGCTAACAGGTGTACAGGACAACTGGATTCAATGATTTAGGCAGAACACGGTGTAAGATGTTAATAAGGAACACCCAGCTCAGCTGGAGGCACTGCAGGGTGGGCCACAGGCAGCAAAACTAGCAGGTCCCCAAGCAGCAAGGCTGTCATGGTGGCTGGGAGAAACCTTAGAGTAAGATGGAAATGAGCACCGAGAAAGATTAATGTGAAAACAAGGGATTAACCTTAAAAAAAGAAAAAAAATTAAAACCCAAGAATATAAGCATTCTAAATATCTGCTTGTATGTTACTTTATGCTACTATATGTTATTGAAGGTAAATAGGGTTTAACCAGCACAGAGCTATGTAGATATTCATTTCTATATTAAAATCTGCTTATTTTCCTTTAAAGCTGATTATTCCCATTTAGTCTCACTAAACCAAACAAACTAAGTCATGATCCCAAATAAAGAGATGCTACACAGTCTTCTTCAACAGGTTTACTGACATCTATTTGAAATATATATGAAACCACGTCAATAAAACTTTCTCTTTTCAGACTATCTTTGGAAAGCAAGAGTCCACAGCACTTTCATGGTAATTTAAACCCCAAGCTGCAGGGTGCTCACTACCTGAGGGGAACACCTCCACAAGACCCTACATCAAACAGTGAACTCCTTGGAACAAATGAGGCACTGATGAGCAAAAAAAACAATCCCTAGCCAGAGCCCAGGAACAGCACAGTCGCTTTGCATCCATCTGGCTCTAGCATACTGAGTTTGCCCTGGGTTAATGGGATAAGCAAGGGCTATTTAATTATCACGTTATCCTAGGAATTACATGTCTACAGAGATCACCCATTAAGGAATGGCTGTGAATAATACACTCACGTGGCCTTACAGGAATAAAGCAGCAATTCTAGTGTTCACTATTAGAATATGCTATCTATCACAGGCAAGAAGTCAGTGCCAAGAAATTCAGACAGTGTACATATCAAAGGAAACAAAATGGTAAAATAATTTGACAGTGAAGACTACTGATTTTTATTACTTTAAAGGCTAATCTATTTTTAGTTTTAGAATCTGTTTTTAATCTTAATGGTTCAGTAGCACTATTTACACTATGGTTTTCAGAGTGATACTGAGACACTAAAAAAGCAAATCTTCAATTATAGCAAGACTTTAAAAATAACATTAACTAATGTAGAATGCTTTATTAAATTCTACTGAGCTCAGCACGGGGAGCTCTATTTTCCCATGGCATTAAATGGTAACAGCTAAACCCAAAGAACCAGTCAGAACCAAACACATGAAGAATCAGCTCCCTTTCAGAAGTGAGAGCAGATGCAGCACCATATGGCTGACCCTCCACAGCTAAACAACGCCCACAAGGACTTAACAATTTATCTCCCCCAGGAATAAAACAAAAGTTCACAGGTTTTAACATGCAAGGTTAAGGAAGGGTTATGCAGGCTAACATCCTAAATGAACAGAATTTATGCCAAATGCTTTGAAAAATAGCTACACAGATCCCACACAAAGAGCTCCATCAGTCTGCACCCAGGAAGGGGAACTCACTCCTTCCTCAGCATCTGCCCTTGTCAGCAGATTCGCTGCTGAAACCAGGACTGAAGTGCCACAAAACAGCTACAAGTCACTTCTTCAAGCCCAACTCTGTCAGCTGCTTAATAAACTGGTGCTCTTCAAATATTAAATTGCTTCTATTTGACCTGAATATCTCTCCCCCAAGAAAAGAAATGAAAAGTTTTTCAAGGGCAGTAAAGAGATGCTAACAAGCCTCTAAGTCACTTGACTGCCATGAAAAGCTGTTGCAGATTCCGGTGGCAAAGGTGTAATTGGAATGGTTTTCTATTTTACTTTTACAATACTCTGCGGAAAAATTTTCCATGTACTTTGCGGTTCCTACTTCCTTTTTACAAATAATTTTATCTTTAAAAATAAATTAAGAGTGCCATGGACTCATCTTTAGATAACAACTTAACTCAGAAGATCAGAACCTAACCATGTTCGAGTGTTTCACAAAGAAAAGGCCATCATTTTCAGTGCTTACACGCACATTTCATATCCTGAAAGTGATGAATTTTTGGAAGATCAGTTATTTTCCAAGATCTTTATTCTTCTAAATACTAAAACCACAAGCAATAACAGCAACAGTGGTATTTTTATTAGCCAAGACAGATACAGATCTGTTTCTTTGACTTTATATAATTACTCCAGAAATGTCATTTGCTGGCTAGTTGGTGCAGAAAATGAAAAAAATGGGTTCAAGGAAAAACTCATGGGGCACTATTTTTTTCACCCTTTGAATATTAGTGTGGTGAACACGAGCATCCTCCAATCTGTCTCCCAATGGATCGAGTCATGATTAGTATTCACCCAGCTCCTTCCAATTTACAGTTGCTATCTAATTCACTCCAGCACAATTATAGCCTAAGTATAGGGCTATACATCAAGAGAAAATTGTCCAACAGTGGTGATTCTGTGGCTATTTTCAGTTGTTTAAAACTTGAAGCTAAGAATTCAGAATGAAAGTTTGCCATGCTGATGGCTCCTTCTACCTTTTGGAAAATGTTTGTGTCACAGATGTCAAGTCACTCAAGCAAAACCCTTCATAAGCATAGATGTACTATGTCAAATGATGTCAGAATTAAACTGCTTGTGAAGCAACCATATCTTATTAGTGCCAAGATTTGAGTTGCTCCTGTTTAAACACAGATTCTCAAAATTTACACAAAAGCTGCCTCATCCCCTAAGCTTCAAATTTTCTGTCCACCGTATTACCTACCAGAAGCTTCTAATTCCATCTGGTAATTTGAGAGGTGAGAGAACTTCAAGATTCAGTCCAGTTTTGTGCCTTGGTATTTGGAAATATAGTTCAGAAGCTCCTAGAGAGGAGTGATTCTTCCCAGATCAAGCAGCTCCATGCTGTGTATTATCAACTGTATTGTGCTAGGACATCAACGGCAGGCAAGAACAGCATCCTGCTGTGCTGAGTGCTATTCAAGGTAATGGACTGGCAGAAAACAGCTTATAATTTAAACAACACAAGGTAGGGTAAATAAAAAAAAAAAATAAGAGTTCGGCAAGGGCTCAGGGAAAGTGTGGAAGTGCTCAGAGGTTTTTATCATTAATACCGAGCTGTTAAAAAGGAGCTGTACTAAAAAGCACACAAATGTCAAGAGTCACTTCAACCATACAAAATATCCTTGGTGAAACAAAACAGAGGTGTTTCTGATCACTTCAAAACAGGCTGCTGCAGCTGCTGCTTCATCAGAAGAGAAAGATGTAAAACTGACATGGACAGGATTTATGAAGGGCACTGAAATTTAACACATCTCTTTTCATTCATAGGCAAGAGAAAAAACCATCAAGCCTGCAGTTTGGGAGCTCTGCAGCCAGAGATATACTAAACCCTGCTCTGCTTGGACTTCTGAAAATGAGTTACACCAGAAGGCCTGCAAAGAAAGTAGGATATCTGCAGAAGCTGATCTGATATTCTGGTAGGAGCAAAGCTGGAAATCCAATAAGCAGTAAAAGGTAAACTGCAGATCCCTTCCCTCTTACAGGTTTAAATACAGAACTTTTATAAAAGGTGAAAAAGTTATGTTTCTACTTTGACTGCTTGTGTAGAAACATGAGAGAACGTGATTAGAAATAATAAACTCCCATTTGTAAAAGTCCTTGTTTAAGATATTAATGTCTGTTTCTACTATTTCATGGAATACACCACTTTGGGATAAACTATTTTTAGGATCAATTACTGTTGACATGGAAGAGTCCACAAATTTCTTAAAGCTCCAGTGCTTAAGGAGAAGCGAGTCACAGGCACATGCTACATAATAAACCCTCCCAGCAATTTTTAGCATTGCTCACAAGAGCAAGCAGCCACTGGCTTTAGTCTATCACAGAGATGAACTGAGGGTAATCACTGCTGCAGATTCCACTGACACATGGGTGCCTAGTGGGAAGGGCAGGGGGAACACATGGCAAATTTGGGACTTGTGATAAGAGACAGTAGTAATAAAAACAGCTATCATAACAATCTTCAGAGAAATATAGCAAAAAATAGGCGTCTCACACACTTATTCAGATTGTCAATGAATTAAATGTCTTAGTTAATTGTGTTCTGAAAAAAATGCCAGAAGAAATTCAAACAAAAAGTCTTACAATTTGGAATGTTTCTTGTACTTCAGCCAATACATGATTGCCAAACTAATTCATTAATTATGGATCCTCTTCTTTTAACTGGACCTTTGTTACCAACACAAATGAAATTAGGCCTAAAAAAGGTGAACCAACAGTGGCAAACAACTTACAATGGCTTTGTAATAAACCTTTCAAAACACCAACATGACTAAGTAGTCATTGAAACACAATTTTAACACCTCCACAAAACCCTAATTCACTGCCATTGATCTCTTCCAAGTTGCTTAAAGTTGCTTGAAGTGTGCCATTAGTGGCTCAAAAGCTGAAGATTAACAAGCTTCCCAACTAGATTCAGGACCCTTGCTTTCTTTTCATGCTTCAGAGAGTTTTCAGGCCTTTTAATTTAAAGATATTGTAATTCTCCAAGTTTCACTGGTCCAGGTGGCTTCACTAACTAGCTCTTTTAGTGTTCAGCCTACCTTTATTGAAGGGAAGAACTTTTTAATTAAAGTATTAAATTTAGCTGAATCATCAAACAACTCATCTAATCCACAGGTAGTTTCTAAATTTAAAGCTGCATCATTTCTTGTTAATTCAGTGGCCAAAGAAGAAAGTTGCCACTCCTGAGTAAGACTATGTTACTATTATTAGTAGCATTAGCTCCCAAACCAATGTCCCAAGACAGTCTCTCCTGTGTCATGCATGTGCTGCTTTCCTCAACACAAGCACACTGTGCTCTTCCAAACTGATTCTGCCCTCAGGTTCACTTTCATTGATGCTACTCCTCTTTATGCTCCAGCACAGCATTCCCATGCACACCAACCTCTCCTTATTCTTGACAGCTCTGAATAACACCTGCCCTTCAACACCCATTGCAGGTCACAATGCAATCCCACCAAGTTTTTTTGTTACAGGTGTAATAGTTTTTACATCCTACACCAGTAGTTCTTGTTCCTCTGGTTTGCTGGCTGCACTCCTCGCATTACTGTGCAAATACCTCAGTTCTTTCACAAACACCACACCTGCTTTCTGGCTGTTTTACTGAGCACAGCCTTTTTACCAATTACTTATCTAATTACTCCTCTCATCAAGTGGAATACTTTCTTTCTTTCTCTCTGCTGTCCAGCATTTTCCCCTCTAGTATTTACAGATGTTATTCTTCTCTTCATGCACACAGACATGGTGGTGAATCAAGTCTGTCTCACATTTCATTTCTTTAAATTTCAAGTTCTTCTCACCATGTCAGGCTAGACAGTCCAGTGAGATCTATACCCCAAATACAACACCATAACTTATGTATTGAGAAATGTTACTTCCATAAAATCCTCCTCCTATCCATATACCAAACATTCTTTGGAACTCCATTCCTTAGTCAACACCACCCTAGTGCATACTCCAGGCAACATCTTAAGTTGCTGACTAATACATTAGGAACAGGAGAAGATAAAAATAGTTTTCTACTAATGTGAAAGTTCAAATATTCCCACAAACCAAGTCTTCAGTGTTTTCTGAGTAAATCCAAACATTAACATGACTCTGCCTTCTCCTAGCCACTGAATTCCATTATATTCCAGAATTTTATTAGGTCCACAGCTTTTTCACATTTGGCCAAAGCTAGCTAAAAAGGAAGAATAACAACACAGCTATAAAAGCAGCTTTCTTTAGGACATCCACGTTGTAAAGAATATCTTTAAATAGACTATCAATGGCACAGTTCCATTTTCAGTGACAGAAGAAACTACCGATTGTTTTTCCCCTTTACTGCACATTCACACACAAGCTAACAAAAAAGTTTTCTTAAAAGAGCACTGATATTCTTTTAATTATTTGTCTATAGTACACATTGGGGAGATGGCTAACTCTAGCAAAATTTCAAAGTTTGAGTGTTAGATTTATTTCTTTAATTCCTTTAGATATTATGAATATTTAAAAGAGTTTGTTGCTGTAAAACATCAATATCACAATTTTGTAGCACTTCTCTAAAATAGCTGAGAACTCAGAATGATGACAGACTGAATGCTGTTATGGCAATGCCACAGAGTTCATGTGATTCTCTGCCAAGAAAATTAAGTAGTTCACTGGCAAAGAACTTCTTAAAACAGTTTTTGAATGTAATTTAGTCACGCTGTAAAGATAAAAAGTTTTGAATTGTGCCACAGCTGAGTTCATGCTTTCAGATACCTGTCTCATTGTTCTTAACAGGAAAAAAATTACAGGTCACATCACTTTAAAGATACACAGAAAGAGATGTATTAGCCTGTTTTTCAAGAACAACTGAAAATGTTCAAAACTGTGATTGTACAGTCCCAGTATTTGTTTGCTTGTTTTTAAGCACAGCTCAATATCCAGCAGCTTTAACAGAGAGCCACCGCTGCTGACAGGCTCTTCAAAGCATATGGTCAAGGAGCTTATGAAGTGCAAATACACTAGCCTGTCTGGCAGAACAAAGCACAAGAAGCATAATCAGAACGGCAAGCAATGAAACAAGCTCTCTACCCGAGTCCAGCAATGTCACCCAGCATCGTCTGAGTGATATACAACCAAATCAGTAATTCCAAATTTAACCACAGGCTTATGTGTCATTTCAGTTTAATTGCAACATTTTTTCCTTGTCAGGAAAGTCTCTTTTTAGACCACAAACTCCCCTCATCTTCAGGATACCTGCTCTGACCGTAAGAATGGAAGGATAATTCAGACAAGCAAAAAACAACCTGCAAGAGTCAGAGTACTGCTGCAAAGTAAGCTGGCACGGGGCTGAGCACTCTCCTAGATGCACTTACCTGGACAGTCGACTTCATCACTCTCGTCCTCGCAGGTGGGCCACCCATCACACTGCCAGTTGGAAGGGATGCACTGAATGCTTCCACTCCGACACGCAAACTGCCCTGGGATGCAGTGGAGCTCTGCGAAACGAGGCAAAAACGTGCTTTGTTTGAAATGGTGTTCGTGCAGATTTATACATATATTAATCATCTGGCATGTAATGGATCTCTGAAGTGGTAACAGACAAAATCTCTGTTTAACTCAGCCTGTTAAACTCCTTCAGTTCAGATCACTTCACGTCCTAAACTGCATGTTTGTGGTTTTAACAGACAGGAGGGGATGGGAAATAATTCCCTCAAGACATCCCTCGTAAAACCTCCCTGACAAAGATAGCCTGTGAGCAGCTATTACCACGGCTTTACCCATTTGCTTCTTGTGGGGCATTGAGGAGTGCTTGTTCAATTTCCTCAGAGCTCAAGTTCAACAAAAATATGTTTCAATGTTAAGTATTGCATTATGTAACAGCCTCAGAATCCTATTTCCATTCTAATCACTGTGCATGCCAGAACCCACTAGACTTGCACAAATGTCCTGTCTGACTTAGGGACATTTCACAGAACTACTTGTAAAACAGTATCTATATCCATGAACATGTTTTCACTTTCTAGCTTCAGCTCTTTTGCAGAATTTCTCCATGTGAACATATCCTTTACTAGAAACTGTCACTATCTGCAAACATTTAGCTCCTGCTTGTGAGTTCACTGCCTACTTACCATCACTACACTGTCACACCTAATTAGCATTATAAAAAGTATAACTTTTTCAAAACCTGTTTTTTTTTAATTTCATCTATCAAATGCCAGAACCTAATAACTCAGCTTCGTTTTATGTCCCTCAAAACATTTTGCAGGGAAGAAACAGGTCTGTCTACACAAGTGAACAATTATAAGCTTGTTCACAGTCAGTCTGCCAGTGCCAACACCATCCAAAGGCTCAACTTTTGCACCTGACCATCTTGTCCATCTTTTTTCTAGACGGTGGTTGTCAATTTTCAAACCACTGTTTTTGAGCAATTTAGCACATTTTCCTCTCAGTGAGTTGCACTAATCCCAGGTAATATGTCTAGAGAATGAGCACACTTTTAAACAGAAAAAAAAATGTTTATATGTAAAATATACTGATTTTGAATGGATCCAGTAGGCAACTGTCTTACAGAAGGAAATCACTAAAAGAGAATTTAAAATACAGCTATGCATTCTCTCATCCAGAGTTTACAACATAAGAGCAGACTGTAATTGCAGTTGTTACTTCTTGAAACACGTCTAAGCTAAATCAAGACAGAGGTCACATTTAAGGTTTCAAACAATGTGACTGGGTGTAATAAACCCAGTCATCAGGCACTCTCAATAAAAGCTGTACACACACACCTAGTAATTGGTAAAACATATTGATAACAGGCTTCTAATTTGATGTTAGACTAAAATCCAGTCCTACTACTGGTTCCTCTATAAAGCACAGACCTGCTCTTCTAGAAGAATAAAAGCAGGCACATCCTCTTAGCAACCACCTACTCAGAGCAAACATTCAGGTCACAAGATGCTAGGAACTCACACGGACCTGCCAGACTACTGAGGCAACAATAGACCTGACAGCACCACAAGAGTGTTCTCACCCATTTAGAGCTTTACTCGGCCCAAACAGCCAACAGCACAGGGGAAATGGAAAAAAGAAATAGAATTACCAGTCATAATGACTTCTCCCTCAGAAAAAAAATTGAAATAATTTATTTAGCCTGAAGAGGGAAAGGGGAATAAAATGGTTGGGGGGGTGTAAAAAATGGAGGAAAAGCTTCACTTGCCCAATAAAGCAAGAGACAAAATTTAAAACTATCTTTAAGCTAAATAATTTCAAATCTCATCTCTATGAGTTAATTAAATCTCATTCTAACTTAGAGGAAAAAACCCAACAACACACAAACCACCAAATCAAACAAATACAAAACCTCAAGCTGAAATTAAAAGCATTCAGATTTCAAGTCCACAGAAAAGCATCACTTGGTAAATCACTGCAGCTTCTTTTTCCACTTCTGCACAAGGTCAGGACACAGTGGGAGGTTCCTTAGAAAGTCTTGCTACTACAGTTTCAAGTACAGAATTTACAGCAGTGCCTGTGGTAGATCTTTTAACACATCAAAGACTGTTCTCAGCTCCAGGTTTCCACTGCATCCACCTGTAATTGCAGCAAAATTCAATACTTTAAAATAAACTTGATTTTTTCTTTTACTGCTTAATTTCAATGGAATTCACACATATACCCTGTGAACAAAGTTATTCTGCAGCCTTCTGGCTTCATAGGCAGCATCCACCAGGAATGCCAAGCTGCACATGGGAAAACCAGAATACTTTTGTCGAGCTGCAATTCCATACATGCTATTACTATTTTATGTACAATTACATACGACTGGCTCAGATAAAAGGATGACTCCATCTCAGTATTATGGGAATTAAAAAAATACCAGCTACATGCTGTAATGTCATTACTTCCTGTGTTAGAGACACTCCTCTCTGAAGAATGTGGATACATGGAAGAGTACAAAACATTTCTATTAAAACACCTTTCAGACCAGCTGTACCATTGTTCCCAATGGAGATCACGCTGTCAGATGCACTAATTATTTCAGACCAGGGAACATGAACTGCTACGTAATTCTGTTGCAGAGGGGGAAATGTGACACAAAGAAATATTGTGAAATTAAAATCTCTGTCAATAAGGCCTCCTGAGCCATCAGTGGTAAGACACAGACATAAAAATAGATGAAAGTCTATAACAAAGCTATAAAAAAGTAAGATACTGAGCTCAGGAAAAGAGATACCTGGGAGAGGCAAGGATGCACAGGGTGTATGTGATGCTCTTCAGAACCCTGTGAAGCATTTCACATCAGTAGCCTATTTTTAAGTTAAAACAGCAGATAAATTAAAACATCTCAAGTCCATCTCTACCACAGAAAAGGCAAGTCACACTGCCAGCAGCAGGACAAGAGGCAGGAAGATGTATGAGCAGTACTGAACAGTACAGCATTACGTGACCATCCATCTTTCCTGGAATGCAAGTCATTACTCAACACATGGTCAGACTTTCTACTTTCCAGGAGTGTGGTAAATAAAAACTGTTTCTTCACCCATGTATTTTCAGTTCTTTTGAAGAATAGCTAAGATTTCAAAAAAATCAGTCCATTTCTGTCTTTAAAGCCAGATATCCCTCACAGCTATTGATGGTAACTCACAGCAAGAAAAGATGAACAAAGTGCCTTAAACTATCAGATCCTCACAGCACTAAAATCATACTTTCCACCAGCTGTTCAATGCAGAAACATTTAATGTTTTCAAAATCATTACTAAACACGTAATGGCACAAGTTCAGCTAAGAGCAAGCAGTTGCTGGAGCAGAAGCACAACATTAAGCCAAGGGCATCAACAATTGCCTGGAAGTGAAAATGTGGAAATGCAACCTCCCCCAGTGCTCATGTACGATGTGATGAGTGACATCAGCACTATTATGATTCACATGTGCAATTCTAACATAAAAGGCTTCTTTTTCTTTTAAAGATCAGATACAGTCTTTGCTATGCTACAGGATGAAATTTCATACACTGAAATCTTGTTGCAGAGCAATTAAATTCATCTGGCATTTGCTGGGAAGAAAGGAGACAACTAAAACACTGAAAATAGCAGCAATTGTAGTTTTTGCAGTATACATAGTATAAACTTACAAAACATCACAAAGTTCAGGCAGTGTGAGAACATGAAAACTCTTGAAGCAGTGAGGTGTCTTCATTTCACTATCTCAAAGCACTTCTGTAACATTAACCCTCAGCAATCTTACCAAGCAGTGCATCCTCCTGCCACAATCACAAAGAAGTACAGAAAAATTCAAGAGTTTGCCAAAGGCTACAGACAAGATGAAGCTGTGGGAAGCCAGCTGTCCTGACTGCTGGTTCTATGCTTTCATGATGACACTGATCTTATTTTCTAGACCCCAAGAAACCTGCTCGTTCACCAGCACACCTGTACCTGAACAAATGTGTGTCAGAAATACTAAGTAACAACAGTGTGTTCTCTGGTAACACTTCAGCTGTTTCTCTACAACAAATTGGATACAGAAAAGAAGAAATTCCTTAACTTGATATAAAAAGAACAGACAAATCGAAATCAGATTCAGACCATCAATTCTACAAGCTAAATACACAACCCAAGATAAAATTTACTGTAAAGTGAAGGCCAAAAAAAACCCAATACCAACTTGCTGGGTCACGTTATTAGATAATATAACCTGTCCACCTGTCACTCATCTGAAAGAAGTCTTACCAAGGTTGGCTGTGGACAAGTAATTAAAAATTTAAAAGAAAATTTATAAAACAGTTGGAAATTTACTTCATCAAACCAGGAATGACAAGATTATAAATCAATTTAAACAGTGTCATACAAACAAGAGAACAAGAGGCCTTCATCTGCTTTAGCTGTGACATATTTTTCTAAGTTAGCCAGCAGCAAAACCAACAAGATTTCTGACTAACAGAGAAACTGTTACAGGAAAACCCTCATCTTTCAAGGTGGTTGCTTACATGCTCACAGAGAGCTTTTGTTCTGAAGATTTTGCCCATGTTGAATGCCAGGTGTTTCACAGAACTCATCGTGTATTTCAACACAGCGGTCAACGTGCTTTTAGAATTTTCTTTACAACAGGATAATTTCCTGATTTTCTGCTAAGTACTCACAAAAAAAATGCGTATTTACAAGAAGCTTTATCCACAGGGAGGACTTCATGACAGATGAATAAAACACACATGCTCCCTCTAATTTCCAACCAGCTTCGTGTGTTTCACAAAACAAACGGATTTTGGCCACTATAAAAATGATCCAGGAAGCCCCTCCAGGTTTAACAACCTCATGTACTCCCTCTGTGTAACTGAGAATATTTTCCTCCTGGAGCCCAAGCGCTGAGAAGCTGCAGTGCATCCTTCCTGCAGCAGATGCACACTGGTCAATGAGCTGCCCTGAGCATTACACTACCTGAAACCTTCATTTTCTGCATCATTTTTTAGGAATTTTGAGGTTCATTTTGACTAAGACACCTGCTGCTC